AACGACGATTTCAAATAGGGAGAAAGGTCAAAAATATCCCTCAACTTTCACTTAATAGATAGTTTTACCCTTCGTTATACTATCCATCCATTTATACCCTCACCGTTGTGAAACTTACACCCATGACCCTCAATTGAATGAAAAACCCCAAATCAGATGAAATTATCCGAGTTTTTTTAAAAATAATTCAATTTCCTCATACAAGATACACCATACACATCATTCGTAAAACTTTAATCATAATAATATTAGATGAAATAGAAATATATGCATAATGTTTTGAATGATCAACACCTATTCCTATAAACAATCAAAAATCAAGAGCATTCTATATTAAGTCAAACTAAAGTATAAATCAATCAAATAATACAGTAATGATATAAGCATTTTACTACTTTTAACTATAGAATGAAAAGAATAACCTTGGATAAAGTTCTAACAAAACCAAAAAGATGAATTTATATAATTAAAATAGAAAAATATCTAAGAATATAGTAATATATTAAAATTTTAAATTAAATATTTATAGGTTATAAATATAAAAAGGCACTATGCATACCACACACCTGGTTGAATGCATCAAGTATACATAAAAAGTTCTAATCAAATGAGCAAGCTGTGAGTTAAATTAAATTAAGGAAAAACAACTAACTAAGGCGCATACTATGCAATTACTGTTACCTGAATTATTTCTTAGCTTGATCTTTTGTTGTTGCTGCATTTTCTATGCTCGAGTTAGATAGATGGATAGTCAAGAACAAAAATATCTTTCTTTAACTCATTTTTAGTTTTATTTTCGGGAAAACTATTTTATTAGGCATACATTCATAATATATATACTATTTCTACATATACTTTTCTAGATAAATGCGAACAACACTAGATACATGTATGTATCTGGTGTGATTCACATGGCTATCAGATACATAGGAGAGTGACGAACGAGATGGGAGGGAGGCGAGAGAGATTTGTTAGGTATCCCAAATACATATGAATCTACTTGGATATAGTGTATCTAGAATAAATTACACTTAATTTTGACCTCATTTATCACGAGATACATGTATCTGGATGCACCAAAATCTAGTAAGATTCTAATATTACAAATTAGAGTGTATCTAAGTAATTACCTCCTAGACTAGTGGGATTTCCGTAATTTTTTCCTTTTCCAAATCAGACCTTGTATATTCAAACTGGCGGATCATATTGTTCTATATTGAAACACTGAATTTGACTACTTTACAAGTCCTCAAAGTACACCATAAATCAATTCTTGGTAGTTATAACTAGTAGATGTAATTTTTTTTGGTGCATCATACAAGAGTTAGAAAGTCCAAAATGAAGACCAACAAAAGTATCAAACAATGAACAACACAACTGCACTAGAGAAATAGAAGGAGCAAAATCACCAAAACCCAACTACTGTTCACGAGCTAAAATGTGGAGTTGTAGGACTCCAAATCGACCTCTCTCAGTTCCCAATTAAAGATAACGTCGAAAGGAACAAGCTATCTAAAAATCAGCTCAAATCAGACAAGGAACGAAGCGGAAATCGCAATTTGATATTGGTTGTTAGGGCTTGTGCGAAAATCTGCACTCTCACTTTTCTCTGTATGTGGCTGCTGATCAATCTCTTGTGATTCTTTAGAATAAGACCTAAAAGAAAGTTTTACATATGCACCATAATTTTGGGCATATGGGCAAAAATGAACTAGCCCAAATTGGACTTTTATTTATGGACACAGAAAGGGAAAAAGACCCAAAATCCAACAGACAATTTGGTATTTTCGTTACAATAAGTACATAAAACCACCCATGAATCAAACATTATAGGTTTATGAACTAGATATCATAGAACTTGCGATCCGATTTTCTCTCCACTTAGCTTTGACAAAATTAGTTAGCATGGTGCAAAACAGTAAATTCATACAATGGTTATTTGGCCATCACCATTTGTTAAACACATCAGTTGTCAGAGCACCTATATATACAGTTTCAAACTTGTAGAAATAAGTGAAAGCGATGAACCTACATTTGAGAAAGAAGAACGAAATCTAGCATATGATCCATACTATACTTCAATGATTTGCTGAAGTACTTTTACTACCTTTAAAGCATCTTATGTTTCTTTCCTCGATTATCTTATCTAAGTGTAAGGTATCTCAAAGCACTATCACAAAATCGCAAGACCATTAGAAAATTAAACTCACACTAGCTAGTGTTTGGTCAGAAATGTTCTTAAAGATAAAGGCAAGTGTAATGAAAATTATATTGAATCAAAATGGTGACTACTCCAGGTGTGAATGGTACTACTGTATATCACAAATATGTCAATCTGAGCAACAAGTTTCAAAGTTTAGGTGAGGATGTTGAAGGAATGATAAAGGTGAACACAATCCTGTTTTGAGAAAGAATTAATCTGCATTTGGTTCCAATAAATCGATCTTACCAAAAACCATCATCGCAAATACACAATGATTCTACTACATCAGTGGGGAAACACTAATTAAAGAGAACTCAACAAATGCTTCTCCCATCGTAACTAAGTTGCAAAAATAGAAAAGGAGTATTTAAGTACTTATGAATATGATATAATGTTTTGCTAAATTTATGGGGTTTGCCAAAACACTTGGAATTAACCAAATATATGGATAATTTACTATCCTAACCATGATATATAATTAGGACATTACTTTAATTAATTAAATCTCAACCATTACTTTTTAACCATGACACATGTCTTTCATCCAAGTAAAAACTTGGAGAAAATGGAGAGAAAAGAAATGAAGAGGACCCACATCCAATTAGTTGCCTTACGATTAAGCCACCTCCGAAAGAGCAATATATTTTGTTTCTTTGTTCCTTTTTGGGTGCAAAAAATACTCACTCCATCCACTTTTAATTGTCATGCTTTCTTTTCTTCTTTTTTTTATAGTCAAACGATAAGAATTTTGAGTAATATTTTACGATATATTTTTTCATCATATATTGCAAAAAATTGCAATTCATAATACTTTTCGTATAGTTTTTTAATATGTAAATTTTTTGTTTAAAATATCAAATTAATGTAATCTAATTTAACTTTAAAATTAGTCAAATTGACTTTTGAAAAGCGCAACATGACAATTAAAAGTGAACAGGAAGTATATACTTTATATGTTACTCCCTATTTCCCAATTTATGTGACACATTTCGTTTTTCGAGAGTCGACAGTTAAGTTTGATCGGTAATTTGTGCATGAAATCTTCATTTTTTTAAAAATGAAATTTATATATTTGTAAACTACGTAAAAGTACTATAAGTCATAAGAATTGACAATTCAAAATATTTAGATATATGAAAAATTTACAGTTAAAGATAGACTTGTTTGAATCTCAAAATTCAAAATATGTCACATAAATTGAAATGAAGGAAGTACTATTTATATGTTTGACTTGTTATTAGGCATAGGGTGTAGGAGAATAATTTGTCGTGCTCATGGGTTACACTAGCAAGATCCCTAACTCACCTCCGATTGTGCGTTCGAGTCATGAATGATGCAAGCTTCTAGTTCATAGTTGCATTTTGTACTTTAATCATTACTGAAGAGATTACTATGAAGAACCTTACTTTTGACTGAGACAACGACTTTTATGGTAAGTGTTCACAATTTAGTGATATTAAACATAATAAGGGTGATTCAATTCTTACCATCTCCATTTTCCTTCCTCGATCCCCAAAGGTGAATTTAGAAAATTTATGAGTTTGTACAACGTACTCAAGTAAATATTTCATTTATAATATAATAATAATGATTGAATTTACAATCAAATAGATTTCTTACACGTGAACCCGTAATTGGGCTTCTAGACCAATCCCCATTATTATCACAAAAACAAAAGAAAAAAAAAGATAAGGTAATTACATAAAGATTGATATTATTTCCTATGTGAATAATGGTATTGTACAATAAGCTTTAGTATTTGTACTCATCTCTGGCAGGATGAGTAATGTTGTTAAGATTATCAATTCTCATGTCATATGCAATTATAGCTTCTTCTTTCCTTTTTTTTCAAATAGGTAGAGGAAGGGAAATATGATAGAAGATTACAATGTAGGGAATCGAACACTCATCAACGAGGTGAAAGTTCAGACAACCAACCAACTAACTGAGCTACTAAGATTACTTGCAGTTATAGCTTTATTAGATGGAGTAATAACAAACTAAGAACACTATCTTCTTCTTCTTCTTTAGTTCACACCACTTCCATTGAATGTTTTCTTGTCTTTTGTAAGACAGGTCAAACTCTTGTATGCAAATACAATTTGATAATTCCCAGAAATTAAAGCAAGTGATCATCATTGTGACAAATATCAAAGTCCTCCTTCTTTTCCTCTTAACTTATATTATCCCCCAACCAAATATAGTTAGGAACTTCACAATATTCCTAAGTAATGTCAAAGTTGTATCCATACTAGGTTTTCTGAAAAGAGTATTAATTGATGATCAACGATTCAAGTTAGAAGTTCAGTAGAGTTTGAAAAAGATAGAGAGGAAGAAGCGCGTTTCGATCTTTTTTTTCCAAATAAAGCCAGACTGAAACTTTGTCCTAATATATCTAGTACTAGAGTATTACTTTCACATTTACTCCCCTGCAGTTCAAGTCAATAGATGAGCAGGTGAACTCTTTTATTGCACTCTCCAACCCCCCACACCCCACAATCATCTATACATACAAACAATTATAACAACACATTACGTTACGTTAATACCAAGTAAGTTAGTGTCAGCTATTATGAATCATCACAGTCCATCTCGATCTTAATAAAATTATATTCATATATCAATAAGGATCAATTCATATTCAGATTGAAACCGACAATGTGAACAAACTTGTATAATCAAGTATTTTTGGACGACGAAATGTGAACAGTAATGTAGTATTTGTAGACATAAACTACATACCTTCTCTATAAATTCTATCACCAAACTCTTCCTCCTCTTCAACCGACACCATCTTCTCTTTCTGTGATGGCTTTAATTCTTCTCACCTAACTCTCATTTCATCATTCATTTCTGTGTCTACCTGATCTTTTTCTGCAACTTTTTTTAATATGACAAAGAACAACACGGTACAATCAAAGAAGTTCAAAGGTGTCAGACAACGCCAGTGGGGCTCTTGGGTTTCTGAAATTCGCCATCCTCTGCTGTAAGTTTTTCTCGCTCATCCACAAAACTACAAGTACACTGAAAATGTACTTGCATCAGTTATTAATTTACCAACATTTTTTTTTTTTGCTGGTGCGATAAAAATGTCAACTTTGCTCTCTAGTATGTACATGATGAGTCGTTTTTTTTTTGTTTATAGGAAGAAAAGGATATGGTTAGGAACATTTGAGACAGCAGAGGAAGCAGCAAGAGCATATGATGAAGCAGCTATCTTGATGAATGGACATGTTGCGAAAACAAACTTCCCAATTGTGAAGGAGAGTACTGTTAACAATAATGGTACTAATGACAAGAAATTCCCCTTAACTTCTTCATCAACACTGTCTAGCACTGTGCTGAATGCAAAGCTGAGGAAATATTGTAAGGATCCAGCACCTTCTATGACCTGTCTGAGGCTCGATAACGACAACTGTCATATAGGAGTGTGGCAAAAAAGATCAGGGAAACATTCAGGTTCTAATTGGATAACAAAAATCGAACTTGGGAAGAAGGAGGAGAAGCCTCATGATCATCAGAATATGAATTCTGAACTTGGCATTAGTAAACCATTGGACGAAGAAAACAGAATTGCTATGCAAATGGTGGAAGAACTACTCAATTGGAATTCTCCGTTTTCTCATGAACCTATTACTGATCATCTCTCTCCGTCTTTTTCCAACTCTATATGATACCAAATGTGGAATGTATTGCATGTATAGTTAATTAGACTAGCGTATCGTTATCTCCAATAAGAGCCTAAAAGAGAAGGGATTATTCTTGAATAATTCAAGTGCCAAAACCAATCCTTATGAGATTGTATATGTAAGTATTCAAGTTTCTAATCAGATATATATGTATATAATTATCAGTAATACTTCCATTAAGTAGTTGATTATTCTTAATTAAGCTTATTTAAGCATCTAACACTGATCTTTCTGTCATTTTCCCTCTATCCTGAAACAAAAAAATGACAATTCCCTTTCTAGGAACTTCATTTTTGGTACTATTTTCATTGCCTATGAATAAGAAAGATGAGCTGAATTTTGTAGGGGCTAGCTAAAGTTCCTGTCATCTTAAATCTTATATTTACAACAATTTGTTAAAGTTGAATGACTCAATGGAAGGGAAAGAATCTTAGGCAAAAGTTGTGTTAGATGAGAAATAAGTGCATTAAATTTAGCAAAGATAGAACATGTGTGGTTTAAGACTTAGTCAACTAAACCAGCTGGACTCTACTGAGGTAGTTCTTGACCCCATAAATTGCATTTGTACAAACTGAAGAAAATGAGTTTTCATGGACAAACTTAACGAGGTTGAAAACTGAAGGCCACTTTTGTTTTGTTGACAAAAAATACATGTGGACTGAAATGATTTGCGAGTAGAAGTAATTGCTCACTGAAAAGTAATTCTATTGATATGAAACAAAGTTCAAATGACTTTGTTAGATAATTTCTCAAAGTTGAGTGACATTTTCTAGGAACCCCAAAAAGGTCAAGCCTTTAAGCATAAGTGGGGTAGAGATGCAAGCAACAGTTGTTGCATCTGGTTCTTCAAGCGCGAAGCTGAACCACAGGAACGGTCTACTATACCACATCACCTCATATTTGGACTTGTAGACATATGAAGGCAGTTGAATGCATTTGGCTCGGAAGAACCATTACTGTCTTCAGGAATCTCAGAACTTAAAATCTTCAGTATTGTACACTAGAATATAACAAAGAGTGTTAAAGCTTTTACGTCATTAGTTAGTTGTCAATGGATCCAATATCGCTATAAACTTTAGGGACATTTACAAAAGAAGGTTACTTGCCTCTAAAAAAACATATTTAGCTGCAGTTACATTATTGATTTGCAAGCTGAAAATTCCAGCAGTAACAGGGAATTGGACTACAATTTCACGAATAAAAAAATCAGTTGCTATTCGCATTGGTTCTTCACCAAGTCGAAGTTAATCTCCAGGTCCTGAAAATAGGCAGCAAGTAGCAACTAATCTAGTTGTTCGACCTCATGCATCAAACTAGACTCACGTATCTTTAATTTGTTAAAGGAAGTTTGAGGTTGATAACTGTATTAGTTACAACTTACAACATTTGCTTGCAAGTGGAAATCGTGTATAGGCCTGATTTAAAGTATGCATGAACACTGCGAACTCAGAGAAAAAAAAAACTAAAAGTTGAAATAAATGCTTGAAGGTACGGAGCCTAAAACACTTCCTTGTCGTACTTTGAACTTGTCTCAAGAAAAATTGAGCACATTACAGTTATGTCTGCTTGACTAGGTCACCACTGAATAGTTTGGGTAAAAGACGGGTTGATCCATATTTTCATGAGTAAATAGTACTACACTTTGAAATTCAATATCATAATCTGATTACCGATTTGCAGGAAATATTCCACATTACTATGAATTTGCATAATTCATCAAGACCCAACCAAGGAACCCATCTTGGGTCGAGAGTTGGGTCTTAGGTCTTGAGTAGGGTCCCGGTTTGGGTCGGGTCTGGATCCTAGGTATCAGGTTAGTGGACGATAGGGATGGCAATCAGGTCCTGGGTTGGGGTCAATTCTCAGGATCGGATCCCAGGAAATCTTTCAGGACTCGTTCGAAATAAACCAGTAACTTTTGTTTCTAAAACTAAGAACAAATATTTGCTAATGGTATAAGAAGAAAAATAAAAGATTTGTACAATTGTAGAAAAGGGGATGCAGAAGAAAGTGCTGAATATGAAATCAAATGCTGTACACACATTTTCCTCCGAGGAGTAATAAATAACGTATCATAAACTTACTAAATAACCCCCCCTTCTCTATGCTTGATGAACCAAATCACCAACCATTTTACACACTGAAATCGTCAAAAATTGGCTCCCTCATCTCTCTTTGAGAAAAAAAAAACACAATGATATGAACAGACCATGATGTCCTTCATGGCCTCTGTCCATCGCTATAAATTCCCATTATTCATCGTCTTCCCTGAACTGTTAGGAAGTCCTGGCCTGCAAGTGCCAATTTCTCATATTCAGAATTTTATTAACTGCATTAGATATTACAAATATATATATATATACTATATACTAAGCAAAATTACAAGTTAGCGAAAACGTTAGAGCTCTCTGCTAGTTCAGTAATGTCTACCTTACCATTTCATTAGAAATTATAACCTGCCTGTCTTTCAAACATAGTTCCTACAATGTCTACTCATATTGCATTATTTGCAAACAGTCTCAATCTGATTTTTCCTTAACAATGAGGGAGCTTTAGCATAGATTAGATAGATCCCACGCGCAAATACTTTAAGATAAATGTCCAAATTTATTGTTTTATTTATCATTATGAATTATAATTACACTTCAGTCATGATCAAAGCACATACGAGATAATTTTCCAACCACTATAAGAATATGAATGAACTTCTTTCGGGATCATTTACGAGATAGTTTGACCGATATGTATGGAACCAAAGTATGTAAAATGTTGTGTGTCTATTGTAAATCCACAACTGACCTGCATCCGGGACTCCATGGGCAAAATGCTCCACCTGCAGCTAATGCATCTGCAATTGGCCTTATTACCAAAATCACCTCCCCGATCACCACGCACCATGCAACGGCAAGGTCCATCGCTAGGACAACATATCCATGTATAGGCTCTGCTGGCTGCCACAATGGCGACAATCCTAAGCAAAGAATCTGCACCGGCAACAATATCATGAACGATGTCGCAAGCATGTTCAACCGTACCCGAATCTTCTTGTTGATCACAAACGCCACTACCCTCCAACATGACAGCAAAAACGCTAAGGAATAAGCAATGCTGAATACTCCAAACACAACGCAACTGAACAAGGGATAGGTACAAAGCACAGATTTATTTCCGAAATGGTCAGTTGAAAGGTAAGAAGTCGCGTGCATAAACGTAGGTAATTGTGCCTCCAACGGAGAGAAAAACACGAAGAACGATTGCAGCAGTAGAATCGGCGAACAAGCTAAACAAACAAGTGCAACACCCCAAGTCCGAAAAGGATTTTGCGTCTTAATCGACTCGTTAACCAAGAAAAGAAGAGTAATTAAAAAACCCGGTTCGAAGAATCCTAATGAAAGAACCACATGAACCTTACAGATCTCAGCTTGTTGATTCAACGACAAAGACGGCAAAAAAGGGTAAAGATATTTCCGGCGAATAAACGGTAAACGAATCACTTCATTAATAGCCCAAAGAGAAGCGAATAAGACGAGAAGCAATCTCACAGCCCAAAGAGAATTAAAGTTCTGTAAATGAGGCAATTGACGAGATCTAATCCGGAGATGGAAAATAAAAGCGAAAGCGAATAGAGAAAGAAGAAGAATACCAAAAACAAACCAGATAGTTGCAAAATCAGAAACACCGTCAGCAATAGGAGGAAGAATAGGGAGGATGACAGTAGGTTTAGAAGTTGGATCTGTTAATAATAACTCAAATGGAGAAGGGGAAGAAGCAGGGGAACGGGATGAAATCAAACGAGACGATGATAAAGGGAGGAAGCCATTAGGATTATCAAAGGGAAGAGGAAGAGGGGAAGGGGATGAGAGGAGTCTCATAGGATGAAACAGTGGTTGATGGCGGAGGACTAAGAAGTCCCGGCCGCCGTGCCGGAGATGGAAAAGGGAATAAGTTGTTAATGAAGAAACTAGCCTGGAATTGCATAGTTTTTTGGGGGGAGAGAGAAGAGAGAGAGGGGAAAGATTGTGATTATTTTTCCCTCTTTCTTCTTCTCCCAACCGACAGGTAAAAGTGAATGTTTCGAAATTTACACAAGAATTTTGGGTTTGAGAGAGAAACAGAAGAAGGTGGATTTTGTGAAATGACTCCTAATACTCCGCTATTTGTGCGGTTCTCCTCATTTTTAATCACTTGTCTTACATTCTTAATTTATCATATGGTCACTAAGTAGGCGTTTGATTATTGTATTTGGACATAATTTATATTTTTATTTGACATTAATGGTTTATTTACTAAATCTATACAAGATTTCAATTTTTTCGTGAAGTACCATTTCAAAGTTAAATACAGAAAGATTATATTAAATTATGTGTATTTGAAAAATTGTAATAACACATATTTATTTATTAAAAAAATATAAAAATATGTAATTTACTGCTTCAAATATTAAAATTATATCCAAACGGGCCTCGATAGAAAATTTTCGAATCATAATAGTGATTGTGAATGCGATGGGCTCTTGATCTTTACAAGAGCTGTTTAAGATTTTTTTTTATTGTTTTGACTCAGTAGTTGGCTGCTTGCGTGCCATTAAGGGATTGAATGGTTCAATAAATAAAGGATAACAATACAATATACATATATTAATCATAAGACAAAAAAAAAAAAGATCTATTCAAAATGAATTGTCAACTGGACGACTGCTCCTCAACTCATTCTTTTAGCCTTTATATGAAAACAAAAATCAACTCAAACTTTGTGGATTACATACATTTCATCTTAACAAGTTACAGCTAATAGGTCAAAAATATATATATAAAGGTAGCCTGATGCAGATGCACGCTCGCTATGAGCAGGGTTTGGGGAAGGGTCCGACCAGAGGCGGAGCTAGGTGAGGGTTTGTGGGTTCAGACGAATCCATTAGTTTTTTGGTAGACTCTTTATTTGTATTAGAAAATTAAATAAATATATATGTATATTAACTTATAAATCCTTGACAACTGATTGACAGCTAAGTGGTAAGAAGAGCGGTGGAAATATCTTTCACACTAGTGTTGCGGGTTTAAACCCATTATCACTCGTCTGTTCTAAAATTTAGAAACTCCATGTAAGAATAATTCTTACTTATGACCCAACTTTACTTGTGACTCAAGTTTACTTGTGACCCAAGCAGGGTCGAATTTAAGTTGAAAAAAATGGGTCACCGGAACCCGTGGTCATCCGGCAAAATTCGATATATCTACTTGTATAATTCGTAAAATATAACAAATAGCAACTGAAGGAACCCATGATCACAAATGACTATATGGCTCACTGGTTTGGGTGGTTGTTTTCCACTGGGAGGTTAATGGATCGATTCTCAATTGCTAACATTTATTTTTAAAATTTTTAAAAGCACTCCAGTCATAAAAAAAAAATACAGCTTTTTACTTTTTATTTTTACAAACAAAAAAAATCTAAAAGTAGGTTCCATTGCAAGCATTTTATAAAAAAGCACTGCAGTCGACCTATTTTAAATTAAAAAAACAGCATTGCTTTTTACTTCTTATTTTTACAAAAAAAAAATCTAAAAGTAGGTTCTATTGCCAGCATTTTATTTTCACAAAAAACACAAAGTAGCGCTCGAACTTCCTAGCTGAAAAAACCTATTTTTCCTTCTTTTCCTACAACTTCACAGCTGAAAAAACCTATTTTCTTTCTTCTTTTTTGTTCTTTCAACTTGAATCACCATTCTTAGTAAGCAAATTAGCAAAATCAATTATAATATTTTAGATCTTATCTTACGTGCAATGATCAGCGGCGGCTCAAACGCACAAGTGGTCTGAAACAAAATCAAACTGAGGCCTTAAACTTTTGAGAAAAAATAATATTCTTTTTATAAAATCTACTTTTAAAATTTCTTGAGATGAAAAATTGTATATTTTTTTTATAATCGAATTCTTTTAATAATTATTTTTCAATCAATAATTCATATAACCAATGCATTTAATCTTTCTTGCAACATAGTACTCTAGGTATATCAAATTTCTTCTAATAAATTTTTCTCTTAATATAATTTATTTATTTTTGCAAATCATATTTAATATTTTTCTTACGAAAAAGCTATATTTGTTGTTGCTAAAATAATTGAGGTATCTCAAATTTGAAAGCCTAAAATAGTTGCCTTTTTCTTAAAGGGGCAAAGCCGTCCCTAATAATGGTGCACCCGTCTTCTTGAAATCCTAGATTCGCCTCTGGACCCAAGTAATACCATAAATAATATTTAATAAATAATAAATCTCATCCGTACATTGGTTATTTGATGGACGTACCAAATTAAATCTTAACCTCTATAAATTGTTCCTTCCTCCACCCATTAGGGTTAGCACATATTCTCTACACTAATTCCCTGATGGCTATGGTAACGTAAGGCTAGGACAAAGAGGTAGAAACTAATTTACGACTAACGCTTCTGCTTCTCTTAAATGAAAAAGAACAAAAACGGGATTGACATGAAATCGTTTGTCTTCAATCTTAAATGAAAATGTTTTTTTTAAAAGGGAAAAGACTGTGATATACCCCTCAACTTTGTCATTTAAAGTTCATATACCCCTCGTTAAAAGTGGCTCATATATACCGCTACTATTATACAAATGGCTCACATATACCATTTTCCCCTAACGAAAGTGGGAAAACTAATTTTAATTTAATCTTTTAATTATTTTTTTGAAAAAAAATATAATTCATATGGGGTATATTTGATCCTCCTCACACGTATTTTTTTTTTACTTTTTTGGTTTCAACAGCTAATTTAAATTTATTATTTTGATGGTCAAATTTATTTATGTTTCACTGATTTTCTTGTAAAATTTATTATAGATTTCCCATTTTTAATAATTTTTTCTTTACACTAAAGAATGAAATAAAAAAAGAATAAGAAACTCGAATAATAATAATCAAAGAAGTCAAAAATAACTTTTGTATGAAAAAGATTAAAATATATCTTGAACTTTGTTAAAAGGATCATATATATACCCCTACATGATTTTTTCTAAAATTTAAAGTTAAAAAAATAAATTTAAAACTAATTATTTTCACTTTTGTTAGATGAAGGGTATATGTGAGCTCCTTTTGTAATGGTAAGGGTATATGTGAGTCATTTGTATAACGATAAGGGTATATATAAGTCACTTTCATAAGGAGGGGTTTATCAATTCTAAATGACAAAATTGAGAGGCATATAGGCCCTTTTACCTTTTTAAAAAGAGTTCATCTTTTAGAGTGTGTTTGATTGGTAAAATTTAAATAAAATAATAAATCTCTTAAATATGAAAAAACTGTGAAATTAGGTAAACCAAATTATACAAATAACATTTCATAGACTCCAACTCCGTCCTACTCTCGCTCCCTAGTGTTTAAATAAATTATACAGTAAATAGTTTACCTTTTTTACTTATCAAATATCAGAAAATCAATAAAAAAGATAAAAATTTTCCTAAAAAAACTGTTTACAAGAAAATATTTTTGTGGAAAACACTTAATTCCTTAGTACCAAGCACACCCTTTAGTATATGTTAATTACCACTTACCAGCCTCTGAGTCCAAAGTTGAACAAATTAAGCCCCTCTAAATTGCATGAAACTAAAATAAATTTGATGAACTAAGAGTTTTACAGCCAAAACCTGAATGCCCTTCAACAGATAATTAATTAAGGTCGAACCACAATATAATGGATTTGCAGAGCTTAAGGGGAATGAAGCCTTGTCCGACGACATTATATATATATATATATGGTGATCTCGAACCAGATAGCATTCCCCTCAATTATAGGTGTGATCTGAGGTCTTTAACTAATTTTGGAAGTATACTGACTACTAGCCAAAAAATTTCTTGTGAAATCAATTATAGGTGTGTATATATATGCACACCTCTTTTATCTATATTATATTTAATAAAATTATTGATATATTATCGTCATTTATAATCGCGCGAAACGCGGTCAAGTTCACTAGTGACACAATAATGAGAAAAAATAAAACTGATAATAGTCTGAAATATAATGCAATGCAAAGACTAATGACCCGACCAATACACACAACATTGACTTCGAGTTCATTAGTTATTTTTCTGTCACAATTAGACATACAACTTAACATTCACATTGTTTCTAGTTAACAATGAAGTTATTATATTCTTCAAATCGATTAACTTTAATATTCCTGGCATAGTTTTTATATTCTTCAATTCGGAATATTCATTCAAACAGAGTGTTTAATAAATTGGTAAAAGTTACTATATTCTTCACACCAAAGGAGTAGAAAATCAGAAGCTTTTAGTCTCCAAAAATTAGATCCGATTAAATTTCACACGGAATAGAAAATTACACAGGTTTTAGTCTCCAAAAAGAATAGTACATATTAATAATAATAAAATTAATTTCGTTAAAAATGTTGTTTATCTATATTACTAAGATAATTAGAACAATAACTTTATAGAACTTCGTAAGAAACAACAAAGTTTAAAGTATATATTTTCAAAATTAGAAAGTTAAAAAGGTAAAGAAAATATAATCTACAACAAAAAAGAAACAATATATTGAAAAGAAGAAAATTCGGTCCACTGAATGCACAATATGTCCTTAAAGACATTATTCCCCTCAAGTACCCGAGGTTAATGGAATATATCCTTTTAGGATAGAACGATCTTACTCACTGATGTATTGCTACATAAAATAAGTGTCAGCGAACCACTCAACAACAGTAACATACACTAGAATTTGTTTGTGCAGAATAAGAAGAAGTTCATAAAATTCATTGTTGAAAAACGAGAGGAAGCTCCTCTATTTATAAACAACAAAGAGTAGTATGAACAAGTGCTTATTGTGCCTTATCGAAAAGGTCACAACCTTTTAGAAAAATCACAATTTTTCGAAAAAGTCAGCCCTTCAGAAAAGTCACAATGTTTCGAAAAAGTCCCAATATTTCGTAAAAATCACAATCCGACGGAAAAATCACAACTCTTCAGAAAAGTCACAAACCTTCATTTTCCATTCACACCTTTTAAAACCCAGCAATATTCAACTCGACCCGCTCATTTGCGATCCCTA